CAAAATCTGCTCCACTGTGGGTCAAGATCTGGACGCCGGGGCTCCCTGCCTGACGACTCTACCACCACACACACCTCCACCACCAAGGACAGCCTGTACTGACAAAGACTGATGAGCTGGAGAGTGAGACACACAGAGACATGCTTGAAAGGCATGCATGGGTGCACACGCGCCCACTGCAAGGACGTACTTTTGCACACAACTCTGCTGACGTCACCGCCTCCAGCGTCGCAGCCTGAGAACGCACTGTGACGACCTCCGCCAGATGTTTTCAGCATCAAAGGACAGCTGTCTTCTCACCAGGACTTCTATTTGTAATCACCTGTCTTACTCGCCCCAGCAGAAAGGACGGCTGTCACTGAAGATGTCAGCACCATTAATAACAGTGTTTCGGTGGATCTGTGGGGTAAAATGGACTGGAAGGTGAAAACATTTTCACCTCAGTAGCTGTTAAACAGAACTGTGGACAGTCTGTTGCTCTGCTCGGATACAGTAGAGCAGCAGGAATGCAAGGGGTGGATTGCTACATTAATGGCATGCCTAATGTATAAAGCAGCAGACAGAACTATGGTGCAGAGGAAACCAAGCTGGAGGGAAGAGACAAAAGAAGCACGTGCAGACAGTGCACGAGAATAAGACTGCAGGAGAACAGACAGGGGATGTCACGGATGTTACAGCAGTGGTCCCAGGAGGACTGTAGTTGAAATCTAATAATGTGATCAAACTTTGTTATTCCACAGAAAGAAAGAAAGGATTAGAGACGGATGCTTGAGGCAAAGAAGGAATTCACTTCCAGGTTCCAACAATAGTGATTTGTTAGCAAGATGGGCTTAAGATTCACTCCTGAGGACGGTGCAGCAGAAGGAAAGCACCGCACAACAAAATAAACCTGGTTTTCCTTGCTCAACTGGGACACAATTATGTGACTGTATTTCATACAAACATGCCATACGAGGCACATAAAAGAACTTTCCCGTCATGCTTTTCTGAAAGTATGAAACGAGAGCACGGCACAGAAGAAACAAATGAGAAGTATTTATCAGCATTCCGTGTATCGTGATCAACGTTGTAAAGTATATTTATTGAAGAGAATGTTACATTTTGTGCTAGATAAAAGCTGAATGTTCTGGTCTGAGGTACAGTGTAGTGAAGAAAGAAAACAAGGCGGTGTCAAACCAAAGATTGTTTTTTAAAAAGCTCAACTTTAAAGTCTTATCAGTAGACATATTCCAACCTACATGTTAGCGTACATCTAGAAACAAATACTATTTAAGAAAACGCTTCACATGAATATTGCAAATACTCCAAGTCCAAACCAAGTGCCTGTAATGTCAGTAGACCTTTTTAGAGGGGGCCTCCCTCACTGGATTAATCTGTAAATGATGTCAGCCATGTTATTTTTAGACAGAGCATACCTCCAGAGCAGGGATCATAGGATATGTTATATCACACCATGAGCCATGTGTTCTTTAATCTCTTTATTTATTTATTGTTGTGTAAATGAAAATGTACACACACAAATATATATATTTAATGTATACTTAGATAGTATATCGGTATATTATTCCCTGTTTCTGCCTTCCAGGTACAGTTTTTATAATATTGCATTTTATTCTGTGCACAGAGTAAAGTATTATG